TTTTTTTTTGAGTTGGAGTATCACTCTGTCGCCCAGGCTGGAGGGCAGTGGCACACTCCCGGCCACTGCAGCCTCGACCTGCTGGGCTCCAGAGATCCTTCCGCCTCAGCCCTTTCCGAGTAGCTGGAACTACAGGCGCGCACTACCACGCCTGGCTAATTTTTTGATTTATTGTAGAGATGAGGTCTCGCCAAGTTGCCCAGGCGAGTCTCAAACCCGCAGGCTCAGGCAATCCACTCACTTCAGCTTACCAAAGGCACAGGATTACAGGCTGAGCCACAGGGCCCGGCCAGCAAGTATTTTTTAATGTAGCCCAATTTCTTTTTTACTAGCACTTTTGTGTTCTATTTAAGAAATTGCTATTCCTCTTTAAGGTCACAAAGTTTCTGTTTTTCTCAAAACCTTTATTTTGTAATCTTTCACATTAGCTCTATAATCCATCTGGAACTGATTTTTCGTGTTGTAGGAGGAAGAGATTGAGATATATATATATTCTTCCCCCCATATGGCTATCAAACGACCTAGCCACCATTTTTGAAAAGACCATTGTGTCCCCTCTCTACTGTGTTATGATAATCAAATGGTTACTTTCCTTCCTCCCTCAGCAAAAATACAATTGTATTATTTAATTACAAAAGCAAGAGTATTCATTGTAGGTGTAAAAAATATAGTTAAAATGAAGAGGTTAAAACCCAAGCAATCCATCTCCCAGGTATAATTATTAACACATCTTGACCTTTTTTCTATGGCTATATACCTATGAATATTTTTTAAACCAAATGGGACCATACTGTCAATTCTGGTTTTCGAACTACTTTTCATTTAATATATCATGAATATCTTTGATATCAACAAATAAGCATCTAAAATGTTTTTAACTAAACAGTCTTTCTCTTTACATTGTACCACCCCAAGATGTAATTATTTTGACATTGACTGGTTTTCTCTTGACCTTTCTCCTATTCAAAAGTGTTAACTAGACTCATCCATTGTCTTGAACTTGAACTTCTGGGCTCAAGCAATCATCCTGCCTCAGCCTCCCAAGATGCTAGGATTACAAGCATGAGCTACCAAGCCTGGCTTAGATTCACTAATTATGAATATGGACTTTTTAAAACCTGTTGCCAATTGCTTTAGAAAAAACAAAAACTTTAATTAGAGAGCAATTAGAGGGGCTGCTGATTGGTCATAGCTCAATTCTCCTGTTGCACTGGTAGTACATTATTTGTGGAATTTTTCTCTTCTCTTGGAAAGTCTCACTGCTCTAGCTGAACAAGCTATAGCTTTGCTATCATGACACAAATAACAATTTTCCAGAATCTTAGTATTTTATTTTATCTTTAATTTAAATGTCTATCACATATGCTTTACCATTTAACCTTTTGAGCTAAGCTTTCTTACTGGTACAAAAATGAATACTGTACTTATCTGATGGAATTATTTGTGAGAATATGTTAATGTCTGAAGAGTATTTTAAACAGTACCAAGTACAGTAAACTACCACTATTATTATTTCAAAATGCTTTTTCTCTGGAAGACTACATAGACTATGTGGTTTTCCTATGTCCTCCTTCAATATTCATTTCTTATAAATCAACAAGATACCACTTTAAATCTAAATGGTAAAGAATAAAAAACCAATGGTACTCAGTGCTGCTTAAGTTACAGTGACACTAGTACACTCATACACTGATGGTGGCTCTAGAAACTGTTGAAATCTTTCTGAAGAGCAATTAAGCAATGCTTATCAACAGCCTTTGATGCAATAATTCCACAACATAGTCAAAGACTTTTCCACAAAGCAGTCATCACTGTGCTATTCATTATTTCTACATATATAAAAAAAACTCGAAAGCCCTCAAAAAAGGAATGAAAGTATGGTGACCTCTAAGTTGGACTGTCCAGTCACTAGAAATATATTCAAATACTTTTTAATGGCAAGGGAAAATGCTTACACCATAGGGTTAAGTGATGAGAGCAAGATATAAATCTATAAATACAGAATGATATAAAATATGTAAAAAATAAACATCAAATCTCAGATAAAAGATGAAAAAAATACATATAATAAAATACTAACTATCCATGTCTTGTACTTTCTGAGCAGCAGGATTATGATTATTTTTTACCTTCTATACTTTTATTTTCTAAATTTTATGTAATCAAAGTTTTATTTTTAAAATCTTGGCCGGGGCCGGGCTCGGTGCCTTAGCCTGTAATCCTGCGCCTTTGGGAGGCTGAGGTGAGTGGATTGCCCGAGCCTGTGGGTTCGAGACCCGCCTGGGCAGCGAGACCTCATCTCTACATAAATCAAAAAATCAGCCAGGCGTGGTAGCGCATGACTGTAATTCCGGCTACTTGGAAGGCTGAGGTGGAAGGATCGCCGGAGCCCACCAGGTCGAGGCTGCGGTGGCCGGGAGCGGCCACTGCACTGCAGTCTGGGTGACAGAGAGAGACTCTAACTCAAAAAAAAAAAAAAAATCTTGGCCGGGTATAGTAGCTCATGTCTGGAATCTCAACACGTTGGGAGACTGAGGTGGGAAGATTGCTGGAGCCCAGAAGTTTAAGACCAGCCTGGGTAACATAGCAAGACACTAACTCTACTTAAAAAAAAAAAACAGTTTTACTTTAAAAATCTGAAAAAAAAAGCTTACTTAAATGTTACTCTAAATATGACAGGGCATAAAGTATATACTTGAAAAAGAAATTGCTTGTCAATAATCAAGGAAACACATTTGGACACAATTTAGTGCATCACTTTAGGAGAAAAAAAATTGAGGAATTAATCTTGTTCAATAACATCTTAGTAGTCTATTATAAAGAACAACCTTAAGCCAGGTGTAGTGGTTCACATCTATAACCCCAGAACTTTGGGAGGCCAAGACAGGAGCACTGCTTAAGTCCAGAAATTCTAGACCAGCCTGGACAACATAGATATTATTGCCATTAAAAAAAAATTAGCCGAATATCACATGTTCTCACTCATATAATGGACCTTGAACATCCAATGCAATACTATGAGAAAATGACGGATGGTACTGGGAAACTATGGGGGGGAGGGGGATGGGATTAACAGTAGCAAATATCTGTCGGGGGATGGGAAAACATTTCTTATCTACAGGGTGCCTGAATGAAACGTCATTGTACACCTAACCCTTAACTGTACCCCACAAAACCATAATAAAAAATACTGATCAATGAAAAAAAAAAAAAAAAAAATTAGCTAGGTGTGGTGGCACGCATCCGTAGTCCCAACTACTTAGAGGGCTGAGGCAGGAAGATCGCCTGAGCCCAGGAGGTTGAGGCTACTGGTGAGCTGTGATCATGCCCCTGCAGTCCATCCTGGGTGACAGAGTGACACTCCCTAACTCAAAAAAAAAAAAAGACCAACTTTAGGATCAAATTTTATTAGAACTATAATTTAGTTTCTACATGCAAAACTGCACAGATAATTACAACAGAAATGTGTGAATCTGCATCCATTGCTTATAGTTTATAATGAACTTATTCTCTAATAATCCTTAATATTATTTAAAAATTATAGCGTGATGAGATCAAGATTAAAAAATAAAATCACTATTATTATTCTGGCCCCATGAATAGACATTAAAACCTTATTTAGTCCTAAAGAAAACTTTAGAGCCCTTTCTAGTGTCTTTGCAAATAGGGAGATTGGTAGCTTAAAGAAACAAGTGAAAGATTAACCTTACTGAGGGTATTTATTCAATGAATGTTTAATGTATGATAACTGCTATAGTTGAAGTATAAAATGTGTATGAAGAGAGCTAATTCAGCCTGAAAGAGCCTGGAAAAGCTTCTCAGAGAAAGTGCTATTAAATTGGCTTTAAAGTATCAATAAGGGAGTAGAAGAGGAAAGAATTCCAGGCATAATGGATAGTGTATGCAAAAAAAAGAAGCATTAAAAAGTTAGAAAAGATTATACTCACTCATAGAAGATGGTTTCTGTATTTTTTACTTTCAAGTCTGGGCAATGGGCTGAAAAGGTTCCTTAAGGTTTTTTATTCTAGAATTCGATGAAAACGTGTTGAAAATTTTGAGATATAATGATGTATTTGCCATGTATTATTCCAAATACAAACAGCTAAGCAAGATCAGAAGAATTTGAAAAATCTGTAAAAACTCCAGTCTTAAACAAGAATCACTACATGGGCAAGAAGATAATTCCATTTACTCTTTCAGTTCATTGTTAGAAAGGTAATTTATAAAGAGAATAAATACAATTCAAAATAATATGGAGGAGGTGACTGGGAAGAAGGAATAATTTCTAGAAATTATTCGGTTTACTATGAACATTTCTTTTGATTCACAGAAGAAATAAATTTGACTGTAGACTTTTAAGTACTTAAAATTAACTTTGTATATGTATTTATAATACCTTTGAGATATATTCATATACTCAAATACTTAAACTTATTTCAACAAAAATGTAAGCATCTATAATCTTTTTTTTTTTTGAGTTGGAGTCTCACTCTGTTGCCCAGGCTGGAGTGCAGTGGCATGCTCATGGCCACCACAGCCTCGACCTACTGGGCTCAGGCAATCCTTCCGCCTCAGCCTTCCAAGTAGTTGGAATTACAGGCATGCACCATCATGCCCGGCTAATTTTTTGAAATTTTTATTGTAGAGACGAGGTCTCACCAAGTTGCCCAGGCTGGTTTCAAACCCCTGGACTCAGGCAATCCTCTTGCCTTGGCCTCCCAAAGTGCTGGGATTACAGGCTTGAGCCACCGGGCCCAGCCTAAAATCTGTAATCTTATCAGATAATATGTAACCTCATCAGATAATACAGTAATATTTTGGTATACATCCCTCTAATCTTTTTTCCTAAAAGTTTCTAGGATGTAAGTACCTGACTTGAAGCAGCAAAGAAGACAGTACTCATTATAACAATTTCATTGATTTTTTAAAAAAGTGTGTACAAAGTATCCTAATTCTTATCAGTAACTACCTTGGAGAAGATAGGAGGGAGCCAGAGTTGCTGAAGGGGTAAATAATATTTTAGCTTTATTTCTAATGTTGAAATTTTCAGAAAGAATAGATTTAGTGTTACCTAAGAAATTAGACATTAATAAAAACAAAAAAATACAAACTTAAAGTGTTGTCATATTTATAAAACAAAATTTGAAGGGAGCAGTTATGATAAAGGGAGATTTAGTCTTGTCAGGGAAGATAATTTCATGAGCCTTGCCCTGCCACTCCTGCACTCCAACAATGATTTCCTAACTCATTAGTTTCAAAACCATTAAAATTGTTTCATATGATTAAGAAATGTTGCAATCATCACAGGCCTTAGATATTCAGGTAGCCAAACTAGTTTTATCTTTTTTGTTTCCTTTCAGGAATATGTTGCTGATTATCATCTTTCAGTACCCCTCAAAAAAAAAAACAAAAAACACTAATTAGAGTCAAACAACTTAATTCAATAAACACATACTGAATGCATGCATTTAAAAAATATTCATTACTACTTGGAGTTATCACAATAGCGACACCATAAGGAGATTTAATATTTAGACTGCATAATTATGTTTTCATTTTTAAACCACACACGATTCACCTGGGATTTGGTGGGTAATATAGTCCATTCTCACGTGATGGCAGTGGGAATATGAGATACAACATCAGGAAGATCAGATGATTGGGCCCTATTATACCCACTGTGCATAACAGGCAGCAGCTGCTCATATTGCAGGCATTTGTCAAAGTTTAAAACATCTCATTTCACATGATTTTTTTCTATAGTAGTCTTTTATCTAATTGGGGTGGGGTTGGCGTTTCTGAAGCCAGCATCGTACATACATAGCAGCTAGAAATGAGAAACAGATATATGTGGCATATAACTCAAGTAATGAGAAAAGCTAAGACTGGAATGACCTGCTGTGTCAATTCTTTGCTCTCCTGGTGACTCCATTTGATAGGTCTTCAACATACTCCAGAAATTCTCCTTCAGGAGCTGCCCTGGGCCACATACACACTCCTTTCTTCTACCGTGTAACAGTGTAGAAGAAACAGTACAACTTTATGCTGCCTAGGTAGGCAACACATATTGTTTTACTATACTATTACATGGAGATCTTTCCATGAAAAGTGTTTTAACATTAACTGCCCACTCTGCAAAGAGGAAAAATAGACTGAGTTAGTTAAACATCCAATTACAAAAGACGTTACAGTAAAAAATATGTAAGATATATTTTTCAAAAAGATAGAGCCACAATTCCTTTTCTGCAATTCTCATATTCAAAAGCTATGAAAACAGAAAGTTTCTTCACAAGTTTGGCCATAAAACCTGACCTGAGACTCTTTATAGTCTTTGGTTCTCACACTTAGTGGGATTATTCATAATTCGCCACAAAAATATGAGTATATTTGTTAATGGTGCTACCCCAGACTTTTTTCAGTAGTTTTTAGTAAAATATTTTATATGTAACCTATTAGGTTTCTAAAATCTGAAAAATGTTGATTCCAAAAACACAACTAGCCCTAAGTTTTCAAATAAATGATTGCAAATAAATATTTCCTGAAAGATGATTCCTATAAATACTTCTATCCCATAGAATGCCATGGGACATTCAGGAAAAGAGAAAAGGCGTATTGGAGCAACATGCAGGTTGCATGAAAAACTGACACAATACTTGGTAAGTGATGTAACTATAAGACATTATGCAATTATCAGAAGCTAGTAATCTGTAAAGATAGCATATAGTACTGCTGCTAATAGTAGGCACCCTAAAAAGTCCCATTCTTTTGAAGTTTCTTTTAGATACAATACTTTAGGATATTCTTATTCAATGTTTCTCAACTTGGTTAAACATTACAATTTCCTGGAGAGTTTTGTAAAAATACCCATGCATCAGGCTCACCTTTGGACAGTCTGATGAACTTGGTCTAAGACAGGGGCCTTGGCAACAGTGTTTTTTAAAACTCCCTAAATGATCCCAGAACTTTAGGAGACCAAGGTGAGAGAATTACTTTGGGAGATCAGCCTGTACAACATAGCAAGACCTTGTCTCTACAAAAAATTAATTGGGCATGGTGGTACACACCTGTAGTCCTAGCTACTTGGGGGGCTGTGGTAGAGGAATCACCTGAGCCCACAAAGTCTAGGCTGTGGTGAGCTGGCATCCTGTCACTGCATTCCAGCCTGAGTGACAAAGTGAGACCCCAACTCAAAAAACAAAACTCAGCTGGGCTCGGTGGCTCAGCCTGTAATCCCGCGCTTTGGGAGGCTGAGGTGAGTGGATTGCCTGAGCCCGCGGGTTCAAGACCTGCCTGGGCAACTTGGTAAGACCTTATCTCTACAATAAATAAAAAAAAAATTAGCTGGGTGTGGTAGTGCGTGCCCGTAGTTCCAGCTACTTGGAAGGCTGAGGCGGAAGGATCGCTGGAGCCCAGCACATTGAGGCTGCAGTGGCCAGGAGCGTGCCACTGCACTCCAGTCTGGGCGACACACTGAGACTCCAACTCAAAAACAAAACAAAACAACAAAAACAAAAACAAAACTCCCCAAATGATGATTCTAATGTGCAGTCAGGGCTTTAAAAAGTCTCAGTAGTCAGGCTGTACCCCAGGTCAGGTAAATCAGAATCAGGTAAATAAAGCTCAGACACCAATATTCTTTTAAAACATGCCTAGGTATTTCCAATGGATACCCTAAGTTCAAAACCAGTGGTTGCAACCCACTGATTTGATTGGCTTAAGGATTAAGGGTGTTTTTCCTTCCTAAACTAAGTTCTCCATTGTTGCTATAATACAAAAGAATTCTAAGCTTTATCCAGTCTGGTGGTGGTTTATTCATGGAATCCTTCTCCAATTTCTTTAAGAAAGCAAAAGGGGCAGGGGGAAAGATGCGGAAATCACATGAGAAACATTTAAGAATACTTTCAGTAAAATAATCTGTACCATGTCAAAACTCTTTTAGCATACAGTAAATCATAGTGAAGAACAAAATTAAAAAGCAAAATTCAACTTTAGTTGAGGCTACAATGGAGAGAGAAGCACAACTTAGAAGGTACATAGTAGGAAATTATAGCATATTCCAGCAACTTATAGGATAGTAAATTTTAAAATATTACAATAATTTTCCAGTGACTGACTATGCAGGATGCCAATACTAAGCCAGATTCCTTACATATTTCAAGGAAAGCTAGAAAATACATTAAATTCAAGATAGCTTCCTTTCACAAAGCAATTGAAACATACAGTAAGATGCATGTTTTTAAAATATAAGATTAATTTCTTTTGCTATTAAAAATAGTTGTCCAGGATACCACACTTATTTAGGTTTCTACACACATCAGTTTAAACCATTTAAAACAGACATAACATTTAGGGAACTGGCACAGGGGCATTTCTCTGCCTCAACTGAGTACCATTTTAAATATCATCACTTTTAGTCCCCACACTGGTTTTAACAAACAGGACAAAATAAAACAAAACTTGACATCGACTATGTAGGAACTTTCAGTTCGGCAATACATAGGGACAATAGAGCTTCACTGATCAAGAATCTCCACTCAGCAGAAAAAAAATATGCATAAAGTCTGTGAACTCTTTTCTTTCACTGGAAAGATGATAGTAAGTCGATGAGTGGAAAATGTGGAATTTACAATAGAATATGGAAGCAGTTGACATTTCTACTTTGCAATTACAAGTATTATTCTTAGGATGAAAGTTGAAATTGCAAACTTAGCTGGACTTACCAGTTTCAACCTAAGGAAATGAAATAAAGTTCATTCCCTGGGCCAAAAACCACAAGCAGCAGTTGGGAGCAAGAGGGCAACAAGGACAGAAGAAAACAGATTCACTGCGTTGTTATCAAGAATGGGTTTCCCTGCTATGTACTTTGCCTCATTCGTTGGTCTGTTGACTACCATGCCAGTGTTTTCATCCAAACCTGGAGTGGAAAAAGAAGCAGTGAGGTGGAAAACTCAAATGACTTGATTAAAAAAAAAAAAAAAAAAAAAGAACAAATTAGCTTTTTTCCTCCAAAGAAGATAATTTTTGAAAGATTCTAAGTAACTTGCAAAACAACTTTAATGAATAACTTATATGATGAGAGATATGGAACCCTTGATTACAAATGGCCTCTTTGAATAAATGGGTTCCAGCACATTGAGGAAGAAAGAACATGAAAAGCAGGGTGGGAAGGTACACATAACATTAATAAGGATATCTGATCTCAAACCAGGCAAAACAGGGACCAAAGGAAGGCCCAAACTTTATCTGTACAATGACCACTTGTATACTTAATCCTGAATTGTATCCCACATCTTTAAAATAAAATAGATTTTTAAAAATTTAAAAAGAAATAAAAAAGAAAAGTAGAGAGGGCATGAAGTTGGCAGGTTGGGCCTGCCTTCTCAGTCACTCCCCTTTAAGACTGACCTGTGAGGCCCCTGAGAGTAGGGATCACATTTGTGGCCTCAGCGTAGAAAACACAGGGCCCAGTATGCCACTGGCACAAAGGAGGTACACAAAGATATACAGAATGGATTTATCTCCCCTACTGTACACAATTTCTTTTCAACCCTGTCAATATGGTCAGAAACTTCCCAGTTAGAGCTTAATTTAGAATAAAACCTAGGCCTTTTTTTAAGTACACAATATTCTTTTATAGCAACACACAAAAAAAGAAAAAAATATATGTACTGTTTGCATGTGTGTGTAGAGTTATTGCTCCTTTAGTGAAAATTAAAATCATACTGCATCTTCCTTAGTATCTAAATGAGACTAGTGAAACTGAGAGAATAAATATTCTGACTGATAGGGAGAGGAATGGAAGGGAAAGTAGATTATCTCGGGGGATGAAAAATGTCGAAAGTTCTGCACTCAGGGAATCCTTCTCTACCCTCCTAGCCTCCTCATGATGTCAGTCAAAAAAGAAAACATGATTGGCAAGAGTGTGGAGCAAATAAATATATGCCTAACATAATATGTCAGTACACTGACAAGTGGGACAGCCTCGGAACCAAAGCACAGAAAATTCTGAGGAAAACTGACTTTTCCATACACATTGAGTGGGGCTAAAAACTCAGTGGCAAGGACAGCAAGCACGTTCACAGTAAGAAAGTAGGCTGTGTGTGTGTAGTCAGATTATTACAATTATTCTTCAAATAGGCTTGGAAAACAAATAGGAGTTAAATTAAAATGGTCTGATCCCAAACGTCCTGCTTTACTGGGGTTAGGGGATGGCCCATAACCCAAAACATCTGTTCCCTGCATTGCTGTATCCTTCCCACACAGCTCCTAATCATTGCTCTGTAGGACACATTCTCTTTCAATTAATTTAACACAAAATAATAAGAAAACTAAGATTGTGGAAAAGACACTGCTTTACCATTCCTGGTCCCTCAACATCTTTGCAACTTTCAATTTGTTTTCACTGTTACATCTTTTTTCTGTTCTTTTCTTTTCTTTTTTGAGTTGGAGTCTCACTCTGTGGCCCAGGCTGGAGTGCAGTGGCATGCTCATGGCCACCCCAGCGTCGACCTGCTGGGCTCCGGCAATCCTTCTGCCTAAGTCTTCTAAATAGCCGGAACTACAGGCGCGCACTACGATGCCTGGTTAATTTTTGATTTATTGAAGAGAAGAGGTCTCGCCAAGTTGCTCAGGTTGGTATCGAACCCGCGGGCCCAGGCAATCCACTCACCTCAGCCTCCCAAAGTGCTGAGCCACTGAGCCAGGCCTCTTTTTTTTTTTTAGACAAGGTCTCACTCTGTTGCACAGACTGGAGTGTAATACAATCATAACCCCCTGCAGCTTCCAACTCCTGTGCTTAAGCAATCCTGCCTCAGCCTCCCTAGCAGTTGGGACTTGCACCATCATTCCCAGGCCTTTTTTTCTTTTCCATATTTCTTTCCCAGTCTTTAACACACCAGTAAGTTGCAATAATAAGAAAATGTTCTTACCAGTAAACTGCATTGTAGCACCTAAATATGAGTCCACAATTGATCCTAGCAATCCAGCTAGACCCCCAAATGCAATAATTGGCCACTGGGGAGCAGAAATGTCTAAGTCATTCACAAAAACCAACTGTGTGAGGAAGTATGCGATGCCCACAAAGGTACCACCAAGCAGACTGGAGGCAAGGCCCACCACTGTAACTCCTCCATTGGTCCCTAAAGAAGAAACATGCAAAGAATCATCTGGGTAATAATCAGCAAACGCATAAAGTCAAGGAAAGCAAAACATTGTGGAACCTATCTAGTTAAGACTAATTTAAAGAAAGCATTCTCTTCAATGCAATCTAAAAACTGTAGCCTATTTAGAAAACAGTCTTTTCTCCTTAGTAACTCCTGACATTCAAAGCAGTGAAATGCAATAGCTCAATTGAGCCAGACTTCCTGGTTTTAATCTTAGTTCTGCTATACTCAAGCTGTGTGACTACAGTTAATTTATTTAACATACTTGTGCTTTAGTTTCCTTATCTGTAAGACGGAAATAAAAAAAGAACCAATTCATATGATTATTATGAGTACTAAGAGGTAATCCATGAAAAGCAGTTAGAATAGTGCTCTGTAGTAGGCATTCAAAATATGTTAGCTGTTATAATGATGACAGTGATGATGATGAAGAGGTGGGGAGAAAAGGGAGGAGGAGAAGGCAATGGAGAAGAGGATGAAGGAGAAAGAAGGAAGAGGAAGAGAAGAAGGAGATGACAAAAAAGAAGCAGTAAAGGTTGAGTATTCCTTTTCTGAAATACCTGGGACCAGAAATGTTTGGGATTTTGGTTTTTTTCAGATTTTAGAATATTTGCATTCTATATACTAACTGGGTGAGCATCCCAAATCCAAAAATTTGAAATCTGAAATGCTCGTTAGAGGTTCATGTTGGCACTCAAAAAGTTTCAAATTTTGGAACATTTTGGATTTCAGATTTGGGATGCTCAACCTATAGTAGTAGTTGATAATGTTAATGATAATGATAATGTTAATATCTCAGTGTATATATATTAAAGCACTAATTACATTACAGGCCCTCACGAAATACTTTATCTTTTTTCCTTTCTTTCCCTTTCCACTGATGCATTTATGAGTTAATATCTATATTCCTGTGTTTTTTATCTGTCTTGCTAATATTTCCTGCAAATATTATTTATTTTTACCAATTTTATAGCCTACAGCAATTTTCCAATTCTTCTTTACCTGAGGAGACTAAATAAAAATTTTCAAAGTCTCTAAAATAAGAAATACATTAAATCGAAAGGTCTGTTTGGTTAAAGAAACTTAAATCAAGACTCACCAATTGGAACTTTCTCCCAGGTCGTTATCAGCCTTGGTGGGCTTTTACTTAGAACTGTGCCAACTTCTGAAGCCCATGTATCTCCAGCAGAGCAGGCAAGTGCAGCCAACAGAGACAAACACATCCAGGAAGCAGTGTACTGCTTGGAAAAATCAATTGGGATTTCCCCAGGACCATTTTCTATCATGTATAACAGGGCCAGCTCTGTGGGCACAGCTCCATTACAGAACACCTGAACCCAATTCCTTTGCCCGCCTGGAAACAAACAGATGAAAAGGCAGGAAATGTTTTCTCCTTAAAAGGAAAATCATGCAGTTACAGGAATTTATATTTTAAAGTTTAAGAAAAAAAAACACTAAGATTTTACAAAAAAGACTAAAAGTGATATGGTACCTTTGCCCTCATTCTATACTGTTATTAATAAATCTTGAATAATTAATGATAGAGTCTAGTGCTTCTAAAATTCTGTTACTTCCTATTTGGTGAAATAAAAAAACTAAATTAGGTTACTAAAGTAATTCTCATATAAATTTTATTTGACAATCTAAGCAACATGTTCTTATGGTATAATGTTGAGAAAAAACGAAAACAATGTTCTGATTAAAAACAATGTTCTGATTAAAAGCTTATGTTAGGATGAAAGAAAGTTTACTATATTGAGTAATATCAAACTTAATTAATTTTACCTTCTTTATATTCTGAATCTAGACGCTTCTTTGTTTCTCCCTTCCATTTAGTGAGTTTCGAAGAAGAAAGGAAAAACATCAGCAAAGAGGTAAAAAAGCTGAAATTTGCAATGGTTAGGATAAATCCAACCACTAGCCCTGAAAGAAACATATATAAACACAGAATTATATTCAATTCATACATTAATGCTGTGAAAAAAAGAACTGAATGTTTTTTCAGTTATTTTTGTATTATAACCTGAAATGTACATTTCTAATACATTTGCATTTTACCAAGCAGTAAACTGAATGCCATTTTGATTATATTGATACATTTTTTTAACCATACTTTGATCTCCTTTCAAACAATGCCATATGAATGTAAGATACTATGTTAGACAAACTTTTTATAATCAAGGTACAGTACAGAATGAATAGTAGTGGTTATTATTATTATTTTTTGAGTTGGAATCCCACTCCGTCGTCCAGGCTGGAGTGCTGTGGCATGCTCACGGCCACCTCAGTGTCAACCTGCTGGGATTTGTCAATCCTTCCACCTCAGCCTTCCAAGTAGCCAGAACTACAGGCACATGCTACCATGTCAAGCTAATTTTTAATTTTATTGTAGAGATGAGGTCTCACCAAGTTGCCTGGGCTGGTCTCGAGTCCGCAGGCTCAGGCAATCCATTCACCTCGACCTCCCAAAGTGCTGGGATTACAGGCTGAGCCACTGAGCCCAGCCAGTAGTGATCATTATTAAGCAATATGTATTATATGTACTGTATATATGCTATGAAAAAAGAATGGAACATACTGTGAAAAAAAGAAAGTACTGTCTGGATAGAAGGCTAGTCTGAAAAATTTCCAAACTAACTATGGCTCTCTCTGAAGAGAAGAAATTATAGAATTTTTCAAGTTTATATCTTACATTTTTCTCCTATAGCCTGGGATCTCATTCTTTATTTTATAAAGTGACTTTAAAAGAAAGTAAGCTTTATATACTTTTCAAAAAATCTTTACATGCTCCCTTGTTGAGCATCACAAACTATGGTAAAAGGGTAGAGAGTTTTTCTACTTAAGTTTTCCTGTGTAAATTCATGAAAATAAAAGTGAATTTAATGTAAACTAAAAATGGTATATGTTCTATGAATGTGATTTTAGATTTTTAGACTTTTCTTTGTCTCTTTAGTTATCTATTTTTTTTGAGTTGGAGTCTCACTCTGTCGCCCAGACTGGAGTGCAGAAGCCGCTCCTGGCCACCACAGCCTCACCTGCTGGGCTCCAGTGATCCTTCCGCCTCAGCCTTCCAAATAGCCGGAATTACAGGCATGCGCTACCACATCCGGCTGATTTTTTTATTTACTGTGGAGATGAGGTCTCGCTGCCCAGGTGGGTCTCGAACCCGCGGGCCCAGGCAATCCACTCACCTCAGCCTCCCAAAGGCGCGGGATTACAGGCTGAGCCACCGAGCCCGGCTTGTCTTTATTTTTTTCAGGCAAACAAAGAAGAAAAAAGGGGATAGCATTCATTTTTGGATGAGTGACCAATTTCAAGAAAGGCTTAAGAAACCTGTAGTTCAATCAGGAAAACAAAAAATAAGGAGCTTACATTTCATGACACATAAGAGAAAAAAAAGGAAAGATGGACTCTTGAGATCAACTGCAATATAGAAAGAGGTCACTGAAATCAACTTTTTTAAAATTTATTTTTCTTTTTGAGTTAGAGTCTCACTCCATCACTCAGGCTGGAGTGCAGTGGCATGCTCATGGCCACCCCATCATTGACTTGTTGGGCTCTGATGATCCGTCCGCCTCAGCCTTCCAAGAAGCTGGAACCTCAGATGCTTGCTACCACACCTGGCTAATATTTTGATTTACTGTAGTGACAAGGTCTCACCATGTTGCCCAGGCTGGTCTCGAAACTGCGGGTTCAGGCAATCCTCTCACCTAGGCCTCCCCAAGTGCTGGGATTACAGGCTTGATCCACCGCGCCCGGCCATGAAATCAATTTTTAAATTAGTAGAGCATGCTGGAGACAAATAACTTGATATGGGTTGTATAAGTAACAAGTTATAAAGTCTTTTTCTTTGTAATTCTATAGGAAAAGTACATCTGAAGTGAGCTTTTTCAATTATCCAGATAAACATTAGAGGTCTTTTGTTACCAAATATGAAAATATTCTTGTGAATAAAACTTAGTGGTAGAGGGAATAAAGTACCTTCATCTTTGTCAACACAATGGTCAATAACTCCTACCAAAATGAAGTAGAGTCAAAATATAATGAGTGAAAGTAGCCATCTCTAAAAATGAGAAAAAACAAGAGAGTGTTTGACTACTGAGAATACACAAAATTCAATCAAGGTGACCCTAGGAAGTCAGACCTGGAAATGACTATCTCTAAGAATACTTTTATCCTGAATGAGTTGTCCTATACTACATCTGAAGAAAAATGTGTGCTAACAGATGAAAGTAGTCTGAATAGCACCTACAAAAATGAGAGTTTCAAAAACTGAATTTGTCATGTCTTCAGTATGGTCCAGGTAAAGATAGCTTAAACAGTCAATTCCAATATATTTGGTTTATTTACTAAGTATAATTTTGTTGTGATAGAGCTTTAATGTCCCTGACCATTAAATTTATACAACAAATTATTTTTTCTCTGACAATATGCTCACTAAACCAATCTTAAAAATAAATTTAAACTTTTATTTGGAAACAATTTCAAACTTATAGAAAGTTGCAGGAATAAGAATAGTAGAGAGAACACTCAAATACCTCTTACCCAGATTCACCTACTTTTAACATTTTGTCCCATCAGCTTTATGACTTGTGTGTACTTTCTCTAAATACATATATACATATACAATATATTTTTTCTGAACCATTTGGGGGTAAGTTACATGTATCATGGCCCTTCATCTCTAAATATTTCAGTGTGTATATTCTAAGAATAGGGATAAGCTCTTACATAATCACAATCCAGTTATCAATTATAGTACATTTAACTTTGATGCAATAATTTAATTTACTATCTGTATACCAATTTTGTCACTTGACTAAAAAAATACCCTTTATAGGGCCAGGCATGGTGGTTCATGCCTGTAATCTCAGCACTTTGGGAGGTTGAGGCAGGAGGACTGCATGAACCCAGGAGTTCAAGACTACCCTAGGCAACAGAGTGAGAACTCATCTGTAAAAAAAATATCTTTTATAAAATTTCCCCCTGCAGTACAGGATATGGTCTAGGGTAGTTTTTACATCTCTTTAGCCCATTTTAGTGTGGATCGTCTCTATAAGTCTTTTTCTCTTATTACCATTTTAGAGAATACAAATGCCCTATTTAAAACAAAAACCAAAAAAACTCCTCATTTTGAGGTGTTTGATGTTTCATTGTGATTAGATTCAGGTTATACATTCCTGGTCCAGATACTACATGGGTGATACTGTGTCTTTCTCAGGATAGCACATTGAGAAGCACCTGATGGCCATCCTCCTCTCATTGGTGGTTGATTAATTTTGATCACTTAGTTAAGGTATTTTGGAATATCTCCATCCACTTAATTACTATCTTTACCTTTAGAATAAGAAGCAATCTGCGGGAAATACTTTAAAATCATGCAAATATTCTGCATCTTACCAAAATTTCCCTCAGATTTAGCATTTATTTACAATTTGGCCTGATCCAATCTTTACTATAATGGTTGCAATGCTGAATTTCCAGCACTCCCTCCACATTTTCCAATCTAACATAAACTAACAGCATTCTAACATAAACAAAATCCCTCCTCCACTATTTAAAAAAATCTATTTTTTATCAGTATGGACTCATAAATTCCTATGTTTTTCTAATAGCTTATAATACTTTACTGTGCTTAGTTGTTGGTGCTCAAATTGTCCCAGATTTGGCTGGTGGGAGTTCCTTTCAGTTGTCTACTATGGCCTTGTAACATGACCTCATCTCTCTCTTTTTTTTTAAGTATTTCCATTCTGTTCTAGACTTATCTCAAACTTACCCTGCCCTAGCCATGGAAGCAACTCTCTCTCTGAAGAGCTATGGTTCATTTTAGTAGATAATGGATATTACACATCAAAATCTAGGCTCTCAAGTGTGCTCATTGTTACTGGGGTATCTTTGCTGTTTTAGAACAGGGCAAATAAATACACACACATATATAAAAACACATAAAGCACATACACATACATATACATATTTTGGAAATCACAAGATCACACCAACTCTAATTCCAATCCATCCCCACAGATTCTCTAGTGCATTCCCCTTTTCTATATTTGTATGCTTCTTTTTCCTTAGTAAGTACTCTGTCTCCCAAAAATGACAAATTCACTCATTTGCTCAACCCTACATTGCATCTAAAATTTTTTTCAGAATCGCTTCACTTATACTACAAGAAAACCAACTTACTAAAAATAGCTTAGGATTTGTTTGCAAATATCTCCTCCTCTCAACCTAAGATTAAGGTATATAATTAACACAGCATTCATATCTTTTTTGTCCCACTTTCAGTATGCTTACAGTATTCATTTGAAATGCAAATGGGTTAATTTCAGTTTACTATCAGTTTCAGATTTTTCCCTCTTTCCATATTTACTGATTTCGTTATATTTCTTGAATATGTGGAATAAACATGCTTCCAAAAGTCATATTAATAAAAAAGGTATACTTAGAGAAATATCATTTACTCTACCATCCCTTTGCTCCTCCCCCACTTATGCTCTCCCTCCAGCCTTTGTAACCAACTGCATTATTTTTCTTCCTGTGTGTGTTTATGTTGTATTAGCTTATCATTCCTGTTTCTTTTTATAAAGATAAACAGGTATACATGTTTTCATATTTTCCCCTTCTTTGTTACTCAAAAGGTAGCATTCTCTATATTGTTTTAAAACTTTGAAGCAAACTTGTGATAATAATTTTATAGTTCTTCTTTCAGGGAGAGAATGTGCTTAACTGTCAATGAAGACTCAGGTCATTGACACCAAAAAACTATCAGCTTTATAAACTGGTCTCTCATGGGTTTGATTGGTTTGAGTCTAAACTTGAGAGAGCTTCTAGTCTGGGAATCAGACAAAAATTTAACTTCTGGTTCTGCAGAATTGGAAATCATTTCCCCAGAATGTTATAACCACACCAAGGTATTTTAT